TTTAATGAAATTTTGAAAATTAAGTTTTTTTTGTAATATAATTTTTAGTAATGCACATAATTTTGTAATTTATTTATTTTTTAATTTTTATTTTTGAATTTTCATCCATATTTATATTTCATATGGTAACAAATAATGTCTTTGAATTTAAAAAAATGAACTTTTTTATACATATTTTATACTTTTCTAGAAATGGGGTCTGATAGACCCTCACGCGACTATAAACGTTAAAAATAGGCACACGCCTGCTAAAGGGTTAAATTGAAAAATATTTCTATCCTATAATGAAGTTGCACTAACTTGGGACCCTTCAAATTGGATCAAATATTTATAAATGCATATAAATCATAGGCCTAGTAATAATTTATACATCTAAAAGCTGAGTATTATGCTTTGTTTTCGAGTTGGTAATATAAGTTTCCAATTTAATCCGTAAATAAGGAACACAAACAGTCAATGCTAAATTGAATAAAAGTTGCTTTTGAGCGGATCTCAAGTTGCTAGGTTGCCTAACTCTAGTTAAATCATAAAAATTCTCTGAAAATGTTCCTCCTATAAAAAAAAACAAAATATATTATTATTTTTAATTTGTAACATGTACTTTAGATTTTATTAAAATTACCATATGTTTTTAAATAATATAATTGACATAAACTATTGAAGATTAAGTAAACTTCATCGAAGTACTGAACTAACCAAATACATTTGTTTGAATTCTTAAGATTTATATACTAAAAGTATAAATTAATAAAATATGTTAATTTTCTAAATTGACCAACAATAAATTTAATTTCTTACATCAACCAGTTTTTTTAGTGCTGGATAAATAGTAGCTGATAAACTTTCTTGAGCAATAACTTCAAAAATTGATGGACATGTTACAACAGTTGTAGTATGATGAGCAGCTTTTTCGGCCATTTGAAATAAAATCAATAAAAGAAGTAAAGAATGTTAAGAACTATTATAAAAATTCTTACATAAACTTCCAATATTAGGTTTTATCTTTGAAAAAACAACTACTTAATTTTTAAATCATAAAAATAACATAGCAGTCGATAGATTTGAATGTCACTTAAAATAATAAGTCATTGACCTATAAGATTGAGAAGTTAAATTTAAAGTAATTGTACTAAAACATCTTAATTTTATTAATGTTTTAACGACAGACTATTTCGATTATGTTCATATTTCTGTAAACTACTTATTATGTACT